TATTTTATATTTTAATTTCATGTAATCGAGATGAGATAAGACACTCATGATTACTTTAAAAATGTGTCCACAAATATCATGTAACTTCAATAGCTGCACATTCGTCAAATTAATCCTGTTATGTTAAATGAATCACAGCAGCTTGTTTTAATTTAATCTAACCTAATACCAAACCAATTATATTATATGCTCCTCATTAAAATGTGTAAAACTGTACGTCGCACATTTAATACGATTAATATACTACGTAATAAAATGTAATACACTAATGAAATAATTAAATATTATTTTTGAAAGCATGATAAAATCCAGGGAGCATACGCTTATGTTTACATTCGATATCCAAAGACACTGAGAGGTTAAGTTAGGTTAGGTTAGGTTAGATCAAACAAATTTATCGTTTAACAATTGGCAGCCCTACGAGATAGGCTGTACAGCACTGCGCGCGCGTATACAAAATAAATTTGAAATCGCTTCTAGCATAACCGTCTTCACGCGATCGACTTTATTTGAATTGCACCGAATCGAATTATGATGCCGATTTGTCCAAATGTAATTCGGGACATCGCGATGCTGTATAAGCGTCGAATGAGCACAAATTATCACGCAAATATGATAAATCAAATTACTCACCGGCTGTTCCACAGGCCGCTCCTCCTCGGGACAGTTCGCTCGCCTCGGGACGTCCTATTCCGATCTTGATGCACACAAATCCACACGATATCATCAACGCGAACGCGCGACACTTTATTCGGCACTCCCGATATTCGCTCACATCCGATAATCATCATCAAGGGCGCGAATAACGCGACGCAACTTCGCTCCATCTTCGCGATGACGCCATCACTGAATATCGTTAAAAATCGATGTCGCGCGTTTCCATCGACACACTATGAAAGTCGCGCGATCATCCTTCGACACTCTCGACGCTCGTTCATTCGCGATATTCGTTTAAAAACGGTTAAAAGATGCGAAAAATGCGGACGTACGACGATCCGTGTAACTGCGTATGACTCCGATTCACGCGCCAACATGGCGGCCGTATGACGCGTTTGACGTAGCAGTGACGTAGCAGTGACGTTGCAGTCACGCGCCAACATGGCGGCCGAACTAGTGAGCATTCGTTTCTGCGCATGACCATTCCTGCGCGCAACGTTCGCACAACTTTGATTTCTGAAATATTGTCTACGGCTTTAATTAATATCACATAATGATAAATATATAAAGATGGAACCAATTAATCATATTGGTCATATATGTAGACTTGCCTGAAGAAAGAGAGTTGTTCTCGATGTTCATTTTTAAAGGAATAAAGAGAATTATATATAAATGTAAATAAATTATCCGAAGAGAGAAAAAATTGAGAGATATTTTTAATTTTTTAATAAGAAATGGAAATGTCTATTCATAGGCTTGTTCTTCTTTTCCTCTTTTGTGCAATTTCGATTCAATATATAACGTAGAAAATTCATAGTATATTGCATTTATTTTTATATATCCACAACTATAATATTCGCACGATCATTTTTTGACATTTACAATACTCGTGTGCCTTGTTCTCGATGTTCACTTTTAAAGGAATAAAGAGAATTATATATAAATGTAAATAAATTGTCCAAAGAGAGAAAAAATTGAGGGATATTTTTAATTTTTTTAGTAAAGGTTGGAAATGTCTATTCATGATAGAAATGCAAAGAAAAAAAATTATTATGTTTAAAATAATAATTTCATATGAAATACAACATTAAAAGTTACATTATAGAACTTGACTTTCTAAAAGCGTAATAAAACAATCAAATAGTAGACAGAGAAAAGACTAATTGTAAAAGAAAAAAAGTTGTTAACTTAACTAAACCATTTAACTTAATTATTACCTTTTTAACTGGAATATTTAACTATTATAAATCTAACATGACATTTATTTAACTTAAATATTTCAATATTTCAATTAAAAAAATAATAATTTAGTTAAACGGTTTAGTCGAGTTAACAACTTTTTTCTCAGTGTACGCGCGCGCGCGCGTGTGTGTGTGTGTGTGTGTGTGACTTTAAAAATATACTTGATATAAATACAATTCTCACATACGTCACAGTACGCGTTAAATATTTCGACAGCGAGCTAACACGTCATTCGACCTTGTGACGTCATTTGGCCTTGTGACGTAGCGCGCTATTGTTTACATACGCGACGACCTCCCCTCATTCGCACGGCGACATTCCAACGGGAGAAAGTAGCGATACGGACCGCTCCGTATTATCGAATTCTTTTCCTAAAAGTACGATCGTGATTAGATCGAAATATAATAATTCGACTATTACAAATGACAAATAATTAACTCTTATAATAAATGCAATTGTGGCGACGATAAATTCATCGAAACGCGATCTTTCATTATTGCAAATAAAAATTGAAGCGAAAGGGGCAAAAATTACAAATTTTCTTGCAATATTCTCCGATTATCGAACTTTACGAATAATAATTATTTCTTTAACATTGCGTAGAATGAAATTCGATTTCGCCCGATGTTTTAAACTTTCCTAAACTGCATGCATATATATCATATTAATTAAACGATTGCTGTATCATCAATTTACATTACTTTAATATTTTAATCTTATGATTCGCGTTATTATGCATATATTATACATCAACAAATAGAAGATAGATAGTTAATTAGTGCAAGAATCGAGTGGTGCATGATTTTGGCTTCGTTTAAAAATTGAACGAATTATTGTAATTTTTGTGTTCCTCTCTTGCAATAATAATAAAATAATAATAATATAATAAAAATACGTATCTCGTATGATTATTTTGCGATCGCGAGTGCCGTGCAAAGTGTCTCGCGATCGTTTCTGTATATGACTGATGAAATATAATTAACTGAAATATAATTGTTTGTTTGCGAGTGAATACGTGAGTGCTACGAGGAAACAACAAAGGATGAAACAACAAAGGAGAAGGACATCTGAAAAAGTATCAGACAGTCAGAAAGCAGAGAGAGCCTGAAGCAGCCAGAGACATACGCGGTGAGTAATTTATAAAAATTATTTATTATTTATTATTTATATACACTATTCTTAAAATAGATATATTGCTTATTATTTTATTATCGTTCTATTTTTCGATCATTTAAATATATAATTCGGATTGAAACGCAGTAAAACAATCAAATCGTAAATCTAAATAATTAACTTAACAAAAAGATCCATAAAAGATATATTAGTTCTTTTAATAAATAATATTGTATAATTAATCTACATAAAAATGAAATATTACCTATTCATTTCTAAATATAAAATACTATAAATTTAATAGTTATATATTTTGTAAAATTTAATTATAAAAGAATCTTTAAGATATTCCAAAAGAATCGAAGAACTTTTCTCAACATAGTAAAAGTTAATTATAAACAAATTTATATTTAATTATTATAATTAATTTGTATTTAATTTTATTGGAATTTTATTATTAATTTTATTGTATTGTCAAACTCGCGATCTCTGTAATGATAGCTATTCAGGAAATAGGTACAGTGAAATAATCAATTATTATCGCTGAAAAAAGGCAATAATATACTTTTAAATCTAATTTAAACTTTTGATAAACAATATAAAATTTTTTTATTATGATGAGAAATCTTTATTAAAGATCATAATTGCAAATAAAAATGGAAATAACTTCACGAAGTTTATTAATCGTTTAATAAATAATTAATAAATAATAAATAATAAATAATTAATTAATGTGTACGTGTACGTGTACGTGTACGTGTACGTGTACGTGTGTGTGTGTGTGTGTGTGTGTGTGTGTGTGTGTGTGTGTGTGTGTGACTTTAAAGATGTGTGTTTAATAAATTATTAATCTGTGTGTACGTGTACTAGTACGTGTGTGTGTGTGTGTGTGTGTGTGTGTGTGTGTGTGTGTGTGTGGTGTGTGTGTGTGTGTGTGTGTGTGACTTTAAAGATATACTTGTATATAAATACACTTCTATATAACTTTAAAAATATATATTTCCGTTATGTTAATTATTCGATTTTTATTCGATCGTTTTATTGCGCGTTCTGAATCAAATTATATTTAGATCAAATAATATCAGAGAGAATATTTATTTATTATATTAGAATTCCAAATGTGTGTGTGTGTGTGTGTACACATATATTAGAATAGAAACGAAATAGAAATAGAAGAATAATCATTGCTCGTAAAGATTGCAACAAAGTAATAATTTATAATTTTGATTCCTGTATCATATAATCGAGTATCGTATTTCGAGAGCAATCAACTATTTATTAATAATAAAATTGTATATAACTTACAAATATTCCACTTATTCCGGACGTTAATATCGCGACAACGACGAATAAACTTTTCAAAAAAGTTCAATTCAACTATTTCATATATGAGACAGTTCTACCAATCACTGATACAAAAAACTCGTCAATTGGCCAGTTGGTGAAACTGTTTCAGTCCTGAGTATTTTCTTAAAAGAGCTGTTGGCGCACATACATAAAGGTGCAATTTTATTGATGCTAAAAGTAGCGTCAACCATTGGTTAAACAATGAAGCAACTACTTACTTCTTTGTTCTACCAATGTTTGACGCTATTTTTTAGCGCCAATGAAATTGCACCTTAAGTGTATGATGTTTACGCGCGTCACGCGTTCGAACGAACCTTGACATTCTCGCGGGAAGACTCGAGCAGCTCGTACGTCGTTCGTCGATATCCTTCAAAGCGCGATCGTTCTTCATCATTTTTGCAATGGATGATTACTAATTTGTATGATTTTTATTTGTGCAGCGAGTGGCGTGTTATTTTGATCCCGAGTGAGTCATTCTTTGAGATTTTATTGCATTGTTGTCGCGTGACAAAACGACAAGAGACGTGGTGTATACATTTATTTAATTCAAGAAAAATGTTTTGCTTATAATATATATTTAAATGTATTTTTTGTAAATATTAATTGTATAATTAGCTTCATTATTTTTTTATATAATTCAATCTTCCTGCATTATATATTCTATGTAAAGCCAATTATATTATACTTACAGAGAGAATTATATTATACTACTTCGAGAGAACGCATCAGCAGAACGACACTTGCGATGATTAAGGTGATAGTGTTGAAGAATATCAATGCCACTACGAATAGCTGATTTGCTCTCTTGCTTGAGAACTTCTGCTATATGCTGCTATTGCTTATTACAATCTCTGGTTTTAAAAAACATTAAGAAATAATTTAAATATGCCGTAAAAGAGAAAAAAATTCATCTAATTAATTATTGAATAATTAATTATATTATTTGTTGGATTTTTCAGAATCCGGGTTTATTCGTGATGCGCGTTTAAACTTTTTCTCATTCACCAAAGTTTCTAATTGTTCAATTCTCGAGAGTCTTCGCGGTTTTTCTTGTTTCATTGCTGATATTTTTGCCATCGAATCGCAAGCTTCATCCGCGCTTATCTGTGTCGATATTTGAGGCATCGATTTCTCATTATCTTCCAATTTGACGTCTCTTCGAAGTTCGACGATTTTTCTTAAATTCGAAGGTGGTTTCATTTCATCGTACGGTCTTCTGGTCATTGTAAACGTTATCGTTTTACCTTTGCATTTATTAATATTCTACAATCAATGAAATAATAAAATCACTAATACAATAAACATTAAAAAGTACAAAACATGTCCTTAAAAATCGCATTTAAAAAATATTTCTGATTTTTCCGATCTCGGGAAGATATTGACAGAAATAAATTAATTAAAATTCTTTGATACCTCGTCGAAACCATCTAGTATCATCCTATTCAATAATACAGCTCTAGGCACTTTGTACATTGGTGATGACTGCGATTTTAAATTTTTCGAATTCCTCGAAGATTTAACTGGTTCGATGTAGATTATGTTTCCAGTCGTCGCCTGATGACGCGAATCGCATAATCGTGGATTCTCCTTGCGACGCGTTTGTCTCTGACGATAAACTACCCGACAAGGATTTGATAAGGATTTTTTAGGACCAAACACGTATTCCCAAAACGTCAACTTTCGTTCCGGATGGTTTTGCGCCTTGTAATTAATAATCCTTGACCGCTCCTTCGTCGAAGGTGTTTTTCGGAAATTCAGGAAGCGCATTTTTTTTCTTTTTCCTGTCAGGACAATAATAACTATATTAAAAGAGACGAAATTTTCTAGAAATTCTTTAGACTCTTTCTCAAAATTCTCAAAATTTTTCTCAAAATGTATTCTTTTTTCATTTTTGTATCATATTTTATAAATTCCACAAAATATTCTATTACTGTTTGTATGATAAATCTTTTACATAATTTTTTACCATAACGTTCGGAAGTCTTTGATGTGGCCGTGGACGATTCTTTATTGTCGTCATAATTATCCTCGTTAATATTTTTTTTCGAGCACAAGACAGGCCTGGCACTGGCGCAATGCCATGCTTGTTGTCGCAAGAAGAGGTTATATTTATTCTTCTGAGAATAAATTAGGATTAACAAGTGCTGTATATCTGCACAAATATTAATCGAAATAAAAGTCTTACGTTTGATACGAGCAGACTGAAAATTTGGAATTTAGTCCGGGAAAATGCCATTGAAGAAACGAGTCCTTCAATTACATGTTCAAAATAATAATATATACCATCCCTTTAACAAATAATAAAACAAATGTGCGTTACAATTCACACTGATCACTGACATTAAAGCACATTAAAGATTTTCAAAATAAATTACACAAGTATACACATTGAAAAAAATGTTTCGCTCTTATTTTTATAAAAATTATTTATAAATACTATTATATATTTCTCTTATATTGTATAAGAACAAAAAATTTGGCCCATGGGGGGATCGAACCCGCGACCTTCGCGTTATTAGCACGACGCTCTAACCAACTGAGCTAATGGGCCAGTTGCTTGAGTGGATCAACATTTCGATTGTACTATTAAAACTTTTTTTATTTAACTATAGTTCACCCCATAAAAAGATTTTATTTGAATTTAATATATGCATACATTATATCTATATTGTAATTACAGACTATTATATATTAATTTCGATGCTAAAAATATGAAGCAAGAACAGTCATTTCAATTGAGCAGATACTAAAGGTAATTATTATAAAATATAATTTATTTTAATAACTGCCAGCAAATTGAAATATAACACGATGTATATTAATTTAATCTATATATTTTGCAATTTAAAATAGCTGCTCTTGTTTAATCTTTAATATTGAACTTAGCAATTTAGTACGATATATAGAAGATTGTGGTTGTAACAAAAAACAAAAAACTTGGCCCATGAGGGGATCGAACCCGCGACCTTCGCGTTATTAGCACGACGCTCTAACCAACTGAGCTAATGGGCCAGTTGCTTAGGGTGCTCAATATTTCGGTCTTAACGTATCTTTTTCATAAAATGTGATAAATATATCTTAAATACAAAGAAGACGTTTTCAATACAAGATGTAAAATAAATATTTAATGCATATAAAGTATGATAAATATTTTAAAAAATTATCTATTTTTTGGCAGACTTAAATTTGTCAAAAAAGTCCTGATTTTGTCTTTTATCTCTTGTATGATTGATCCTACCTAATCGATACAATTTTTATTATATTGAAATTTCAACATTATTGTAACAAATTTACGCATGTGTTTTCACTCTTTAATATAACTAATTTTTGTAAATGACTGTAATAAAATTTACATTATATATTTTAATATATATTTATTATCTCTTTTTTAATTTAAGAGAATGATAAGACATATACATATTATATTAAGAAAATAAATACAAGATAAATTATTTGAATGCAGAAATACCTATAATATTATATTATTAAATATAGTATATGTTACAAATATATAATAAATATATAATAAATATATATATATATATATATATATATATATATATATACATACATACATAGCCTCTGCATATATAAATTATACAATAATTAAAGAAAAATCAAAATAAAATTTAAGAACTTGAAATCTTGAATTTTTTGACATTTGGTCCATAATCATAATCTTCTTCAGATTCAGTTAAACTAATATTGATAGGGTCATTATGTTTACATTGGATAGCTAATTCTAATATTCCATTGTTGTCTTCGCCAGAACAGACATTTACATCTGATTCTATATCGCTTTTCGGAATCTTTGAACGAGATATCTCAATATTTGAATTATCATCAAAATCATCAGTGGAATCAGAAGTGTTGTCAGCAAAAGTTTGAAAGTTTGGCAATACATTAGAATAATATAAGGAATCATTAACCTCAGATTCACTGTTTGATAAGTCGCTGCATTTTGTAAGAATATTATTCTCACACACATTTGTTACTTCTCTGAATACTTCTGATCCTGAAATTCAATTGCTATCAACAATGCATATATATATATATATATATATATATATATATATATATATAATATTTTGATTATTATAAACAAACCTGCATCAGAGATTTGCGTTTTTGAAGTTTTGTTTTCTGTAATTTTCATATTTTTGGAACTTGGCAGATTAATGTCTGGAACTTGGATATTAGTGCATCTCTCAAATGATGCAACAAGTTCAGAACGAAATTTTATGTAAGATTCTACCTTTTGAAAACATGTTTCACACAAAACTGCATCATCTATCTTCAATATCTGAAAATAAAAACAAAAACATAATGAGTAAAATTATTATATAAACATTATATATACATATGATATATCGCATATATATAAATTATTATTACATGATACTTACCGTATAGCCAGTAATTAGTTCAATAGCATCTCTCAAAATCATACATTTATCAAATTCCTCATTATTTCTAACATTTCCTTGTGTCTTGATTAGCAATTTTTCATCGAATATATTTTTGTAATTGTCATTAGATAATTGTTTACAACAGATGCAATAGTAATTAGACTATAATGGGAACAAAATAAATGTATAATTATTTTGTATTTCTCTTCACATATTTCTTTAGTATTGTTTTACTTTATTATTGTTACTAAAATATACTTCTTATAAATTATTATTCATACAACAATTCGTATTTTTAACTAAAGAAATTTTTTATTATATTTACCATTTTTTTAGTGTGACAAAATATTGATAATAGTGATCCAAATACGGATGATATGATGTACCGGTAAATGTCAAACTTGAAGAAATTATTAACAAGCGTTGACAAACTTCTAATAATGCGTAGAAAGATTAGTTCCCAACCTCTTCTCAATTTTAAACGGAGTATCAGTCATGCGTTCTTGCAAGAAAAATACATTACGAAAACAATGAGATAACTTATATGTCATACGAGAAATGACAATAAAGACGCTCTATTCATTCAACTACTTCTTCTGCTCTATTTTCTCTTCTTTTTTCTTTAAAACTCTTCTAAATATACAGTAATTTCACTTCAAATTTAGAAAGTACAGATTAAAATAGCGGTATATATGCGTAGTATTGACATCTGTCAAAATAACGCGCTATCTATATTTATTTATGCTAAAGCGGCCTTTTCATTGACGCTACTTTTTAGCATCAATGAAATTGCACCTTTATGTATGTGCGCCAACAGCTCTTTTAAGAAAATACTCAAGACTGAACAGTTTCACCAACTGGTCAATTGACGAGTTTTTTGTATCAGTGATTGGTAGAACTATCTCATATATGAAATAGTTAAATTGAACTTTTTTGAAAAGTTTATTCGCCGTTGTCGCGATATTAACGTTCGGAATAAGTGAAATATTATTCGTAAGTTATATACAATTTTATTATTAATAAATAGTTGATTGCTCTCGAAATACGATACTCGATTATACTATACAGGAATCAAAATTATAAATTATTACTTTGTTGCAATCTTTACGAGCAATGATTATTCTTCTATTTCTATTTCGTTTCTATTAAAAATACGATCGCGATTAGATCGAAATATAATAATTCGACTATTACAATTGACAAATAATTAATTAATAAATGACATGAAATTGTAGCGACGATAAATTCATCGAAACGCGATCTTTCATTATTGCAAATAAAAATTGAAGCAAAAGGGGCAAAAATTACAAATATTTAAGTTCAATAAATGTCATGTTAGAATAGTTAAATATTCCAATTAAAAAGATAATAATTAAGTTAAATGGTTTAGTTAAGTTAACAACTTTTTTTCTTTTACAATTAGACTTTTCTCTGTCTACTATTTGAATGTTTTATTACGCTTTTACAAGGTCAAGGTTCTATAATGTAACTTTTAATTTTGTATTTCATATGAAATTATTATTTTAAACATAATAATTTTCTTTCTTTGCATTTCTATCATGAATAGAGACATTTCCAACCTTTATTAAAAAAACTAAAAATATCCCTCAATTCTTTCTCTCTTCGGACAACTTATTTACATTTATATATAATTCTCTTTATTCTTTTAAAAGTGAACATCGAGAACAAGGTACACGAGTATTGTAAATGTCAAAAAATGATCGTGCGAATATTATAGTTGTGAATATATAAAAATAAATGCAATATACTATGAATTTTCTACGTTATATATTGAATCAAAATTGCACAAAAGAGGAAAACAAGAACAAGCCTATGAATAGACATTTCCATCCTTTACTAAAAGAAAAAGAAATTAAAAATATATCTCAATTTTTTTTCTATTTCTTCGGGCAAGTCTACATATATGACCAATATGATTAATTGATTCCATCTTTATATATTTATCATTATGTGCTATTAATTAAAGCCGTAGACAATATTCAGAAATCAAAGTTGCGCGCAGGAATGGCCATACGCAGAAACGAATGCGCACTGGTTCGGCCGCCATGTTGGCGCGTGACTGCAACGTCACTGCTACGTCACTGCTACGTCAAACGCGTCATACGGCCGCCATGTTGGCGCGTGAATCGGAGTCATACGCAGTTACACGGATCGTCGTACGTCCGCATTTTTCGCATCTTTTAACCGTTTTTAAACGAATATCGCAAGTGAACGAGCGTCGAGAGTGTCGAAGGATGATCGCGCGACTTTTATAGTGTGTCGATGGAAACGCGCGACAGCGATTTTTGACGATATTCAGTGATGGCGTCATTGCGAAGATGGAGTGAAGTTGCGTCGCGTTATTCGCGCCCTTGATGATGATTATCGGATGCGAACGAATATCGGGAGTGCCGATTAAAGTGTCGCGCGTTCGCGTTGATGATATCGTGTGGATTTGTGTGCATCAAGATCGGAATAGGATGTCGAGGCGAGCGAACTGTCCCGAGGAGGAGCGGCCTGTGGAACAGCCGGTGAGTAGATTTGATTTATCATATTTGCGTGATAATTTGTGCTCATTCGACGCTTATACAGCATCGCGATGTCCCGAATTACATTCGGACAAATCGGCGCCGCATCATAATTCGATTCGGTGCAATTCAAATAAAGTCGATCGCGTGAAGATGGTTAGCTAGAAGCGATTTCAAATTTATTTTATATACGCGCAGTGCTGCACAGCCTATCTCGTAGGGCTGCCAACTGTTAAACGATAAATTTTTTCGATCTAACCTAACCTCTCAGTGCTTTGGATGTCGAATGTAAACACAAGCGTATGCTGCCTGGATTTTATCATGCTTTCAAAAATAATATTTAATTATTTCATTAGTGTATTACATTTTATTACGTAGTATATTAATCGTATTAAATGTGCGACGTACAGTTTTACACATTTTAATGAGAAGCATATAATATAATTGGTTTGATTAAATTAAAACAAGCTGCTGTGATTCATTTAACGTAATAGGATTAATTTGACGAATGTGCAGCTATTGAAGTTACATGATATTTGTGGACACATTTTTAAAGTAATCATGAGTGTCTTATCTCATCTCGATTATATGAAATTAAAATATAAAATATTTATGTATTCCACATTAACGTTCATTACAAGTACTATATTACTACATTACAAATACTTTTCTTATATCTCAATCATATTTCATTGATGAAGCTTTTCATATATCGCAGACAATATGATACAGTGTGTGGAATTTTACACAGGTAATACATGGCACAAAAATAATTTGTTCTCAAGTATTGTGCGCATTTCTCAAAAATAAATCAAATTAAATTATTTTCAGAATCTAAACATCGCTACGTTGCCAGGATTGTATCTTATTATAACTGCGATATTATCACCTTTTAATATGTGTGCGCAGTATTACATACATAAAATATATAAATTTATTTGAAACGTACTGAAATCTTTATCTTATTTATAATATTCATGATATTATAAAAGAAAATTGCAACTCTAATGAAATAGAGCGTTGGAATAATTGGTTGATACTTATGCTGGTCTACAATATTTATGCTTTTTTCACCATTAGACTTTTGGTGCTTTTTTTGTTATACAGATGTTATCTGTAAATATAGTACTCGTAATGTTGTTTCTGTATCACTGTAAGCATACAAAAATGATAGCATTTGCAGGTAATTATGTTGTATATCATAAGAAAGAGAAAATAAAATTAAAGTTGAATACTGAATGTGCTCTAAAGTAAATCTCATCTAAATAAATAAATGCATAAATGTGCGCCCCACATTCCTCATGAAAAAAATACATAATATTAATCTTTATGTATTATTATTTTTAAATTTGTTTTTTATTTTTTTAAATTCTCTAGATGCACTTTTCGTTTCTCCTCTCTTTCTTTCCAACTACTAAATATAGATCTATCATTTTTAATATAGATCTGTCATTTTTAGTGTACATTATTGCAGTAAGTGGAATAAAGAGCAAAGTGCACTAGTGCAATAAGTTAGAAAGAGACAAACATGCTTTCTTTCACTCTAACTAATTGCACTAGTGCAGCAGTGCAGCTGAAAAGAACAGATCCTAAATAAAAAGAACTAACTTTACCCGACACAATCAGTAGTGTTTTAAATGGACTCCTTTTTTCACGCATGACATATGTGCGATGAACGCTTCAGTTTTCGCCAGATCTCGCGAAAGGCAAGTTAAGTAAATTAATTAATTAATATAACTTATGCATGTATTATTTTTTCATTTCACGTTTTTCATTAATTTTAAAAAATTTCAAATATTTAAAAATAAATTTTAAAATTAAACAAACAGGGGCCATAAAGGACCTCTTTTCATGAGATTTAGTTACTTTACTGATACCACATTCAATGCGCATGCGCGAGGATGGGAGCTGTCATCACTGACAACAAAATACAAGCATGCGTATCCCCTTTACGCGCTGTTGCGTCTGCAATCTAGTATCTCTGTCTGACATCTCTGGTTTGCGGAACAGAAGCGAGTGGACGGTGACAGACGTGACGAGCGAGGGCCTCTTGTCTCGGTGAGGTCAAGTTTAGGGAGCAGTAAATGGTTCGCTCGACGAAGGGTTATGGCGAACCGTAAAGTAATTGAGGATTCGTACGTTAGATCCTTGTTAATGCGCAACCTGTGCTCCTCGTCATCCGACGAGGACGATTTAACGACGTTGGCGATCGTTGATGATTGCGAGGCAACGCGATGCAAAAATGATATCGCTCGCTTGTCCTCGTCGTCCGATGAAGAGAAAATGACCGTTCGTTGCCGAGATCTCTCCAGGAACAACCGTCTGTCACCGACATCGGACAATTCCAATTTCAGGACTCAACCCGTCGAGCAGGCGACAGGTTAGGATTTACTGTATATCAGTTGAGTGAGATTTTAAAATTACATGAATTATTTACATATTGTCTACATTATGTTTACATTTTCTCATTTAAACCATGTAAACTGTTATAAATTAAATGTCATAATGCAATATGAGCAATAATTGTAAAATATAATATTTATGTAATATTTATATAATATATACTTTTTTTAATAGTATTAAATCCAGTTTATATTGAATTTGATTTTTTGTGACGCATGAAATATTAAAATTTTAATATATTTAAACTATTCTATAAATGAAGCATCTTTGATCAGCTATATTTCGTAAACTACTCATTGTTAATAATAATGACATGTTAAATATAATTTATATTATTTATGTGTAGATGTAGACTGTAATAGTTTATGGATAAATGCTCAATCTTGCTATATATTATTGTTGTATCATACATTTCAATTATAAATTGTTTTGTAAACTAGAGTGATGAAAATAATTGTTTGCTTAGGTCAGGATACCTCGTTACGTCGCGACAGTAATCCCTTTAGTTTCAAGGCCTTTCTGAAGAATGGCACACAGCAAACTAACTATCATAATACTGGGGCACGTCCCAAAGTCTACTCATCCCCCACGTCAAGTCCTGGCAGCGTTTTTGATAAAGATAGTGCCAGTAGTAGTGGCGTTTATTCAGGCCGAAATCCAACGGAACTGCCGGATTTTGTACAGGATCATCTGGTCATCGAACAATGTTATTTGAATCATGAAACTGATCAGCCGGTATTGCCCGATGTAGATAATCTACCAGATTTTGCGTTGAACAGCATGGAACATAGGCAATCCCGACTACGAAACGAGACTAAGAAGAATGACCCTGAAATCTTTGGCGACGACTTACGATCGTTCGATCTCACCGAGACGCTGCACAAAGGCTCGACACATAGAGACCATTCTGCATCGAATGCGTCGATGCATTCGAATCACTTTGACTTGCCTGTGTTTGAGGATAGGCTCGACGAAAATACACCCTATCTTCCTCGTCCTGAACACAGAGGTATCTGTGTACTGTGCATATATATGTACATTAAATTTTGTGTTTTAAATTATATTCCTACAAAGTTCATAAGGATAAGTTATTTTCTGTGCAGAGTTTCCATTTGACTTACCACTACCCTTTGCCGAATCTAATCCCAATGTGAATGCGATCACACGAGACGGTAATCTGCCAGGAAGTGAAACGAGTGTTCACAAATCTTTGCCAGACTTTTTAAGTGACGGACCCATATATAATAGATCTGCAGACTCGGAACCTACCGGCGCGAGTATGATAGAATCTACAGAAAGAAGGGTAATTATTAAGAATTAGCAGAAAAGTCTAATAGATAAGATTATATAGAAAAAAATGCAAAAATATATATATATTTGCAGCTTCTACTCGAAAATGAAAGGTTACATCAGCAATTAGAGACAGCTCGAAGGCAAATAAGTGAAAAGACTGAAAGGTGATTGCAGCTTACTGAAATAGTTTTCTGATAGAGTTTCTTGCTCATCATCGTATATCATCATTAATTACGGATTATTGCATGAATTGCAGAATTCGTTCATTGGAAGCGGAACTGCTGTCCAAGAGAGAAGTTGAACACGAGGAAACAGCGCACTTGGAAAAAGCCATGGAACAAGTCGAGGATAACTTAAAACGAAGTACAGTAAGTACAGAAACACAATCTATTGAATTGTGTATAAATTGCAACTTTTGCATTATATTTAATAAGATTATGTAAGAAAACATTTGTGTTTTTAATATTATTTGTATTTTATCAGAAGCGAGCAGTTAATGCTGAAAGCACTGTCACATCACTGAAAAAAAAGATTAAAGCTTTAACAGTTAGTATTTAAACATTAACATAATGTAAAATAAAATGTAAGATTGATATATTGATCTTGATATATGTATTTTTTAATTTAGACAGAAATATCTTTACTACGATTGGAAAACGATCAACTTCGAGCTAGAACTTCGACTACTGGACAAGGCGAGTCAAATACTGGTGCCGCTAATACGAATCGCACTGTAAGAAGGCTCGCCCATGATTTATTCACGGCTGCATCGTCGGCCGAAGTGTCTCTTAGGTAAATAATTAAAGTAATTTTAGTTAAAGTAATTTTTTTCTCCTTTTTTCACCTGTAATTTAGGAAAAAGTACTATATTTTAATAAAGATATATACAGAAGTTGCTGCTTCTATAAAAAATTCTAGTAAATTCTTTTTTTTTTTTCAGACAATTAATGTCCGGTGTGGATAATCTGAGAGTTCTTGCATCAACCCTCGAAAATATGAATAAAATAGAAGACTGGACCAAAGACTTTTTACCTGATTCCGACGAGGACAATGCCGCTGGCCCCGCAGTATAACTCTTTTTTCTCTCTCTTTCTATATATACATATATCCCATTTTATCACTTTTTCATATACTCCATCAATTGTAATAATTTTGCTGTGCATCTACTAATAGTTAATCCTTATGCTACAGGTTTAACATAATACATCGTGCAGCAAACGTTGCAGACGCAACGAAACGTATTACTCATCATTCGATTGTTTATTGTTATCTATGTACGTTCAACGCAAACTTTTAAATTACCATCTTTGTTGCTGTCGTCCATACGAATATTCTAATGCAAGATCACTTTTGATCCAAATGTATAAATATACATTATTTATGAAATATTTGTCATATTTTTTTATATTTCTGTATGTAATAGTTTGTACAAAAATCTCTATTCACTCGACATCATGACGATGCAAAGATGCAGATGACGTTATTATCGGCAACTTTTCTTGTGATTAAAGAAATATATATTTTTTTAGTTATATATTGTACGTAAATACAAAAAAGTGAATTTTAAAGATACTCGAAATATCACGTGATATTATCAAAAGCTAATAGAACTAAAAGTGATCTCTTGCATGCATTATGCAATACAGTGCATGATGTAAAAGCCAAAATATATTTTTGACAAGTGACCCTCTTACTGTGTGTGTATACATGAGGCTTTAAATAGAAATACGAAACATATGTACAGTTAGTCTGATTCCAGACCATAAATCTATCGATAAGTTACAGATTATGCGATAACATGTATATATATTGCCAGTATGATATTTATTTTTTAATCGATACATGTGCAGATACATACGCAAAGTACGTTCGAATGTGTGTGAAATGTGTATATATACTTTTAATAAGTATTAAAAAGTATTAAAAAGTTGAATAACAATACACACACATATGTACAATTGCAGATAAGAAACATTTATGATACTTGCTTTGTTAACTTTTTTATTTGGCATTTTAAAAATAAGCTTCAAATAAAAAAGTTAAAAGATTTAAACATAATACAATTAGTCAATCTTGTTATAAATATTATAAAAACCCCAGTAATTTTCTTCTTCAATACTATCTTATTACTTATATAATTTAATTTGAAAGAAAGAAAATTTAAAATGGATATTACAATATATTATAACAAATATATTGTAGCAGAACAATGAAAAATATGAGATAGATGGCAAAAAGATATAAAATACATAATAAATTAATAAATCGCCAAAGTGATTTTGAAAACAACTTTGTATCTATCATGTATGTCAGAGAAAAAAATAATATAGATAAGTATCGAATAAAAATCAAATTAAATGCCAAAATAATAAAGAAAGTAAATAATACAAACAATAAGAGCCATTAGAAATTATTTGAAATTAATTAAAAATTGGCCAGTAGGAGCTAATGAAGTGCGATAATTAGAGTGCAAGGAAAAAAAATCTGGCTCTTATTCAATTTTTAATCATTATTATTATTTGAACAAATTTCTTATTCTAACTTTTTACTGAAATTCTTCAAAAATATTAAGTAAATCGGTCTGTGTCTCAGTATGACTTATTTGCGTGTTTAGCCAGGATCTACAGGCTCCTATGGGAATGTTGCAATCAGTCTCGCAAATTAAAGACTTCGTTTGGGTTTCGGTAGAAACTGTAGTGTCGTCGTGCGACCAAGCGGTTTGAGTTTGTATATTGGACAGTCCTAGATCAGAGGATAGCATTTCGTTGCAAGTTTGAGTACATGTATTACTGTACAACAATTGCTCCATGTTATCCAGATTATCCGTAGTTTGAGTTTCGATATTCGAACTCAAGGTAAATGATCTCGATAAAGATTCAGAATAAAAATACGAGGGGGAAAAAGCTTGTTCAGTTTGTGTTTCTATGCTGCTAAATCTATCATCAAATGTTTTCGCAGTTAGCATAGGATCTTTTCGAGATATACCGTTAGCCGAACTGAAAGGATATCCTTCGACAACTGTTGATGCGTCCTCGACGTAAGGCAATGTCATCAGAGCCACGGAGTTTTTCGGTACGCACTGTATTAGAGGATTATGACTATGCTCGTAGAGTGTCTCGAATTCCGTCTGAGTCACGTTATCATTAAATGCTTCAAACATATCCTTTTCTGGTATCGTTTGTGTGCCAGATGTATTCTTCTCCCAAAAATCTTGCAAACCCACATCGTGGCAAAGCGGTAGTGGACTAAATAAATTCGTCGATGCAAAATTGTCACCAAGATTAAGATCCTCTTTGAGCAACACATGATCCGACTGTTTCGATAATGCACGACGATATTTCTTTCCAAGATTATGTATCTTTGACGACTCTTTGTTCGCTTGTGTCGTTTGTGTTTCCATTGATTTTCCACAGTCCTTTTCCTTAGTCAAATTATTAGTCTGTGTTTGTTTGGATATTCGACGTTTTGCATTACAATGTGAATTATTATTATTGAATTTTGATGGGCTTGATATCTTTTTGCTTTTTTTGCAATCATCTGTCTGTATACCAATTTCGGATGTACTTTTCCCTGTAGTACTAACATTTTTGTCATTTTTTTCAGATTTATCTGGACTGGGTAGTATCGCGACAGGTTTACTTATCATTCTACTTGGTAAGACAATTTGTATTGTCTTGGAGTTGTTATGTCTGCAAAGATATCAGAAATACATTGATAAACTTTCTATATTATATTGCAATAATTAAACTGAAAATATATAATGAATAAACATACTTTAAACTTTTGTATTTCTCTGTTAAGGTATGTGAGGATCGCTTTGCATGCGTAAGTAGTGCCTCATACGTAGTATAGATCTTTGAACAGGAACATTTGAACTCTATGCCACAGACCCTTGTGTGTCCTTCCTTGGTCGATTCGGTGGAGAAACTTTTACCGCAGCGATCACACACATAATTTTTTTCCGCGTGAACTTTCAGATAATGCTAAAAGAATGTTTCGACATTATTTTTTTTATACATAATTTAATCTCAATATTTTTTTTCATCAAACAATTACTAAGACATACATGATACGCACTTGCTTCAGATATTTCATGCTACTAAAGTATCTCTGAGAATTTATAGCATAGACACAAGATTGCACCGGGCAGTGGTAGCGTACGTTCTCCTTCGCGATTTTATCTAATTTCTTACGCTGGTGCACCTTAAGATCATGCATTCGATAACGCGACATATTCGCGAAGACGAGGCTGCATTGTTCGCATCTGACATTATTTGTTATCACACTCAGTTCCTCCGGCGATGGGCAGACCATCTTCTCGCACAGCGGTGCACTGGCTGTCAACAATCCTTTCCTCGGCATTGGGGATTATCTTGGGGCGTGCAATTCGCCGACACACAGATGATGAACTATCGTCGTGATATATATGTATTTATATTGCACGCGATATATAATGAATATCCATGACAGAAAAAATTGACAGCATGATGCGAAAAAGTTAGGCTAGGACCATGTCTCTCACATCATATTAAAATCATAATCATTGTTTTTTTATCAGGATAATAAATTAATAATCCAAAAATGAATGGAATATAGGTTTATCTGTCTTCTTTCTTCGCCTAAGAACGTTTTATGAAGCGAGGAAAGATCGCGAAAAAAGTCCCGAGTCTCGCCGGTAGACTCTTTCCGCGCATGTGCGAACGTCATTGACCACGTGGTCAACAGCTGTCAACGCGGCGCTGGCTGTCAAAACAAGCGCGTCGCGCTCGGTTCCCCTCGGTCTCGTCCGGAGAGCTTCGTCGGAGCAAGTCGGGGTCGATCGACCTCCCTTACGTGGAGAACCGGCAAGTGTTGATTCAGGTTCAGGCAACAAGAGCAGACGAAAGTGGACCGTGGCCGGGGGTATAACACGTACGACACATCGATGCCGGTCGGTTTATTCTTCACTCGCCGACGAAAACGACGCGCTATTTAAAAAGAGAGGAAAAGAACCGCGCGTGTGAATTGCGTACATTCGATATTTTTCGAAAGTCGGGATCGAATTAAACTTTTCCGGTCGAGATACCATCTACGCGGAAGCTATCGCTGTCATCGTCGCCGACGTTTCCAGAGCGATTTTTCGCGGATCATCGAGCGACGATAAACACATATATATACATATATATATATAGGTATGTATATACAAAGTTACGTATATACGTTGCGCGGTCGGGTTATTGATTTTTAGCTTCGTGAGAAAAGTGTGTAATCACACACGTACTTACACAAGTACTGCTGACCGGCTCGCGTGACAACCATCCGCGTGTGTTGTCCTTTAATCGAGTATCGTTGACGGCAGTTTGGTCTCTTCTAGAAACATTCGATTATCCAGAACACAATGATAAGAATTGATCCACGCTTTTAATCACGCTTTAAAACGATTTCTTTTTCTCTCTCCTTTTCCCTTCCTTTTGTTCATCAAACATTTATTTAGGAATTTCAAACGAAAGGTCTTTTATATATTAATTAATACCGAGATAATTAATTAAATTATACGTCATCCTTGTGTTACAGTTGGTCCGTTATTGCGATCTAAACGTTAATCGGCCTAATTTCGATAATGTGATAAATTTAGCGCATCTGTTAATTAGCATCTGTCAACGTTGAAAATCTAGAAGAGATCTTCCGTATTAATTCTCTACGCAATTGCTAATCAATCCATTCGTTATCGTTTTCAATTTTTGGAACGCGTATATCATGTACGGAGAAAAGAGATGTAGATAAGATTTAAAATATAAACAAAAATATCTCGATAAATAACTTCACCGACATTTCTTATCGAATAATATTGCTCCGTGAAATTATCAACATTTTTATGACTGCACATTTTTGTCTCTAAGTAGATACTTTAATTAAGATCCTTGCATGCATACAATGCGACTGTCATAGCAACATAACGATGCAAAGAGTTTTAATAGAGCAATCAAACTGCCATATTCATTGTGCCAATTTAATAGGAATCATTGTTTTTTTTTAGAGGATACATTCGAACTATTATATCGTCATCATCGTGTTGTTTAGATTAAGCAGGCATTATTAGTAAGACTCATGTTTGAATCAAGTGCATAATTTAAAATGGAGTTAACGTGTCATACATTTTATGTATTTGATCAATTTTTTAAATTATTATTTTAATTTATTAAAATAATAGAAAGTTGTACGAAATAATTGAAAATATATAAGTAAATTTAAAATCGGCTTGCATGTAAAAAAATTTAAAACTGTTGCTTTTTTTTATTTTGTAGAATAGATTAGATTATTAAATAAACGCGCAATTTAATCAACTTTAAAAGCATTAGGGAAGAAGATGTACGAGATATTATTTATCTAATATCTAAATTATATTGCAATTATATAAAGGAAGAAAAGAGAGAACAAGAATTCGCTGTATTGCATTATATCTGCGCGATGATAAGCGATAAACAGGAACTCCTGGTATCCGTAATCTCCCGTTTCATATTATATAAACATTCATTCAATACGATGATTATAACAGAATGATTCATGATTAATATAAAAAATAAATCGCAATATCTTATGCAAAATTCTTGTTCTTTTGAGGACAAATTAATTTTGTAAATTTATTTCGAAAAGTCTATAGCTTAAAATTATAATATGAGATGTGTAAATGAGAATAAAACAGGTGTTTGGGATGTCAACCTCGCAAAATACGACATTAGTTGTCATTGATCGATAGCTTATGCTCAAACATTTCAAGCGTCCTTGCCTCATGAATTATCAAGTTCTCTCTTTTTAACAGCTGACATTTCTTATTCTATTCTATTAATATTTAGAGACGCTTATTGTACGCATAAACGTAAAATGCTAAGTGCCGTGAATAAATACAACTAACATAAATTCTAAAAACAATTTTAGACATTGATATTTACATTGGTTTGATATTCATTGATTTATTAATCATTTTTTTTTGCTGTTTCGGAAAATGTTATATGACTCGAGTGCGAGACTGTTCTTGACAATAGTTTAATCTCGTCGTCGCCTGAAATATCTCGACTGCCACGGTATTTAATTTTAAAATAATTTGGGTAGCAGGGACGATTCGATTTCTTGACTTAGAAGATATCGTGTAGTAATCATAGGTGCAACATGTGATTAACAATGATAAACAGACAACATTATAAATGTAATTCGTATCAGGGGAGGGAAACAGAAATTTGATTAAAAATGAGAGTGTCTGTAAAGAACTATTATGTCATTAATAGAAAAATTAGAAAAAAGCAATTAGGAATTAAGAATCTGAAATATTAAAATTTTTGTTAACAAAAAAAATGTCACGTGCTTGTTTTGATAGACGCCTAATTAAGATATAAAAGACGATTTATGTGCGATAGAAAAACACATATTTTTCGTGACAGATAAAATCGTGCAAATGTTCGCTATAGAAATGAAAGCTATTACGATTATATATATATATATATATATATATATATATATATATATATATATATATAGAAATAAAACACTTTTGATAGACGTCTAATTGATTAAGGAATAAAAGGCAATTTATGTGCGATAGGAAAATACATATTTTCCGTGACAGATAAAATCGTGCAAAAATTTTCGCTGTAGATATAAAATGTTCTAATCTATCGCATTATCGATCGACAGATTTAGACAAAGCCCGCTGAAAATTCACGCGAAACATCGCGAATCGCCTCGCAAAATCGTTTCCCGTAGCCTTCGCGTGACTAGAAATCACTTTGACAAAATCTGAGGGGGATGGAGGCAGAGATGGTGATCACGTGTACTGAAAAATCGTTCTGTTCTGTTTCATTTTACATATAGTGGCACAGGAGAAAGAGACGATGTGCCGCACCGTTTTCCCTGGCGATCCGGACTAGAAGAGAGAACGAGAAGAGGACAGAAAGAAAGACAGAGAGAGAGAGAGAGTGCGCGAATCGATAGCGCACGATTTTGGTGGTGTCGGGTCAGCTGCTGGTGTTTTCCATCCCCGAACTCGTAAGACTGTGCATTTTCCCTTCCTGCTTCTCTCCCCTGGGAGAATCGCGGTCTACGCGACAGGCGGTACCGGTGTCGGTGCACTGCTGAAGAAAGCCATCCGTTTCCGCGATGAGAGACACCGGTAACCAGGCCAAGTACGAGCAGCTCTTGGATGACGCCGGCCTCGAGATCCGCAACGACGAGAAAGAGCACAACGACGAGAATGCGACACTGAACGAGGTGAGCCCAGTCGCGGATCACGTGAAGCGCGATTTCGCGAACCTAGACAAATATATGTATAGCTAACACATTTATTTTAGATACATATGTATATATGTGTGTGTATATATAAAGAAGCGATTATGATAACCGTGGAAAGAGATATGAATCACAGCTTCACATTCAATAATATGTCTGTATTTTCAAAAGCAACAGATACTTAGATACGTCATATTTTTAAATATATATATATATATTTCTTCTATATATACAGAGTGTTTCTTAATAAGAGCGACAAATTTTAAGAGATGATTCTTTGTCGAAAATTAAGAGGGGTTTTTCATATAAACTTTAAAAAGTTCTAATAAAAAATTGAATAGGGGTGCTAGTTTCATTCCCTTATATTACGGGAAACTGAAAAAAAATTAATAAATAGCCTTTTTACTAGTAGAAAATATTTACCTAATTTCATTTCTTCAACTTGTTCCAAATTTGAGAAAAAAATAAAAATCTAATCTACCCCCATTTTTGGAGGAGTGTAACTCCATAGGGAGGGATGTAGGAGTAAATGTTTATATAGAAACTCCTCTTAATTTTCGACAAAGAATCATCTCCTAAAATTTTTCGAACTTATTAAGAAACCTGTATAAATCTAATTCTCTCGAAGGAAAAAGTTATGTAGGATACAAGAGAGGCTCTTGGTTTTACTAGCTATTCTAATATATTTTATTTTCTCACTATTTATTAATTGATTCGATGATATTCGATAAATCAAACGAACTTGTCGCAAATCAATTAAATTCTAAATAAATAATATATTAACTTTTTACTTTCTTTTGATACTTCTGATATTCATATCTATAATGCGTATTGAATAAGTGATGCGACAGATATCGTTGGGAGAGGGGGAGGAGGGGTTAAAGTTCTCGCTGAGGTAGCACGTGTGTTGAAATGTTTTAATATCGATTGACCGATTTAATGCGCACGAGCTCGTATCCGAATCGTAAGAAAATTTTTTATAAGAAAACTTTGTTATAGCGAATATAAATATATAAAATGCGATTTCACCAAAAAGGAAATCAATATATCTCTTTTAATCGAGGCAATCATAAATCTTATGACACACATCGCATATAAGTGAAACTCTTACTCATATATGCAAGGACGTGCAAATGAGAGCATTGCTAATAGTTTATACAAACAGTAGCAACAGCTCTAATGGCATCAATGCATAAGATAAGATACGAATGTGACAATCATTTTGCTGTCAGCAAATAATATGCGCTTTTACCACGTGTCAGCACTTTAAAAATCTGCTAAAACCTTATTTATGAACCCGTTCGCCTTAATTAGCACTGTCCTTTCTCTTTTTATTTCGATTTCAAACGTCTGTACGAGAGAACATTCGTATTATTTTAAATGCAGTCGTACATAAAATCGCAATAAAGTCACGAACGCAAACTAATATTCGCGATCAATCAAAGTGGAATATAAATAGCATTGTATTCATTTTATCAATCATTTTGCTGGCGTGTTCTTTCGAGTCTGCACGTTCATTTTGGCTGCATTATTCGCGATATCATGTCTTATTATTTTTCATAAAATTTTACGTATCCAGATTTTCATAGAATTTTATGCATCCAGATTTGAGAGCCACTGATATGTACAACGCACACGTATATATACGTATATGCACAAGCACGTGTTCCCACATATGATTGATTTCGCAGGAAACTGAAATGGGACTAAAGAACGCCGAATGAAATGAAAAAAAAAGAAAACAAAAGAAAACCGATAAAAAGGCTGACCGATTATTTATAAAATCGCCTTCTTCTGACATAGGATACCGATAGCTTATCGATTCGACGCACAGTGTAACAAGTGAGCGATCTAAAATAATTATTTTATATAAGTTAAATTTTGTATTATTATTTAATAATTACACGATATCGTATATTATGTTTAAACAATTATTTAAATTAACTTCTACATTACGTAATAAATAATTAATTACAATTAATAATTAAATTAAAAAGTACATTCAATTATTAAATAATTTAAATAAATAATTAATAGTAATTGACAAATTAATAAGAATCTGATAAGTAATTTTAAAAAAAGATAATAGATAAATTAACAAATCAAAATAGATAAATTAATAGCTAAATTAATAAATCAAAATAAAAGGCTTAATAGCATATCAAAAAAATGATATATTAATCTGTAGATTATTCATTACTATATTAATGAATGGAATATTAATATGTAGATCATTCACTGTCACTTGTCAGGCTGTGCGGCGCCGCCGAATTTCACACACACACGCATCATACATCACATACACACCAACAGAGTGGACGGAGTCGCGATGCAATTCCTGTTTATGCGGTGATCGCTCGCAATTTCTCGTTGACATTTCATTTCCTCTCTTGTTTGATTTTATGCCGCTTTTCTGCCGATCAGTTCTATTATTAGCGCGTGAAATATGTGACCATAATAATTCCGATATATTTATTCAAAAAGATGTATCAAGAGACCGATAGTGTCGTCGACGCTGTGAGGTTAGTATTTATAAACGTTTTCGTGATTTTACCTCGTACATCGTTGTATGCTCGATATATTTTGTCGGAAAAATATATTTTGGACCGAATATATCATAACTTTCCTGTTTTCACAGCTGTATCATCGGTTTTTCCCTTTTTTATCGCGGCTTTGACAGCGTAACGTGAGCACATGTGACTCATTTTGAACTTCGCAATTATAACAATTTGCAACAAACATTGCAACAATTATAATAATAACAATTGCAGTGATAATGAGTAATAATTTAAAAGTACGAGCGCATCACGACACAAGTGTATGCCTTGGCATATATTACAATTTAAACAAGTGAATTTCACATCAGTAAACACTGTTATACATTTGTTTCATTACCTTGCATTATTTGGGTTGTTTCCACACTTAACATCTCTGTCCTGCGTTAATTTCATTTCTATTCATTTTCGTTTCGACGTATATTTAAAACATATTGCAATATGTTTTACACCAAGGATAAAGACCCCGAGATGTGGTTGACGACAGCCGAATCAGCTAGTCTCGGGGCGGAGGAGGTTGCAGCTAGATTGCACGTTGATGTACGAACTGGACTCACATGGCAGGAAGCAGATCATAGAAGACAGTTGATAGGTTTCAATGAATTTACTGTGAAGGAGGAGGATCCACCATGGAAGAAATATATCGAACAGGTATGGTTTTACTTTCTATTCACTTGTTTATTAAATATAAAGATGATCTCAAGTTGAGAAGAATGTAATTTAAAGTGAATTTGCTCCATATTGTTGAATTTCTTACATATACTTTCTTCTTCAGTTCAAGAACCCACTGATTTTACTCCTACTTGCTTCTGCATTCGTCAGCATATGTATGAGGCAGTTTGATGATGCTGTTAGTATTACTGTGGTAAGTATGTTTAAATATTTTGTAAATCTCTGTTCCTTTTAAAAACTTTGGCAGGCATCATCTAACCATCGCTTATGTTTGTTAAATTACATCTCTTTGTAGGCTATCATAATAGTGGTGACAGTTGCATTTGTACAAGAATACCGGTCGGAGAAATCTTTAGAGGAATTGAATAAATTGGTGCCACCGATATGCCACTGGTAAATAGATTTATGCTTCTTATTAAATGCTTTATTAACACATGATTCAATGTACAATAGTAAAAAATATATAATCAAGAGACATGTATAGCATGTATATACACTAAATTCACAGTACTCTTTAGAAATATAATCTTTGGAGGATATATTAACTCTTTATACATATAAAGCATTCCTCTTTTCATGTTAAAATAAAAAAGATAATTTTCATGTTAAAGTAAAAAAAATCCTCTTTTCATATTAAAGTAAAGATGATAAAGAAGAAGAAGATATATCATTGCAAACTGTGTATAAATTGCATTCTATATGAAATTTATTTTTATAAAATATCTATAAAATCTATATTTTAAATAAAAGAAAGAGGAAAGAGAAACATTTCTTAAAAAATTTTTGCTTTTTCTTTTTTATTAAAGATTTTCTCAGATCTTCACATTTTTTTTCAATATTTCATTTCCAGCTTAAGAGAAGAATGTATAGAGACGTTTCTTGCACGCAATTTAGTTCCTGGGGATATTGTGTATTTAAATATCGGTGATAGAGTACCTGCCGATATCAGAATATTTGAAGCCATAGATTTGGCGATTGATGAAAGTAGTTTTACCGGGGAGACTGAGCCATCGCAAAAATCAACGGCTCCTCTACTCAAGAGCAATGGATTGACATCGAAAAGAAATATTGCCTTTATGGGCACTTTAGTGCGGTGCGGGAATGGCAAGGTAAATCTATTCAAATTAAATCTATATCCTTATTGGTATGACTGCGCTCTACCAACTATCAACTTATGTTACGATATCGCGCGATACAGGGAATTGTAGTGAATACGGGAGAAAAGAGTGAATTTGGGGAGGTTTTCTCGATGATGCAGGCCGAGGAGGCGCCAAAGACTCCACTACAGCGAAGCATGGACATTTTAGGTACACAGCTGTCCTTCTATTCGTTCTGCATTATCGGTATCATTATGCTGTTGGGCTGGATCCAAGGTAAGGCTATCCTTGAGATGTTTACCATTGGTGTAAGCTTGGCAGTGGCAGCTATACCGGAGGGTTTGCCCATCGTCGTAACTGTTACATTGGCATTGGGAGTGATGAGAATGGTCAAGAGAAAAGCTATTGTGAAGAAATTACCAACTGTTGAGACTCTTGGTAGGTTGAAACACTTTAAAACTACTTTAAAAGTTATTTTATTATAGTCTTAATAAAAGTAAGACTTTACATGTAAAATATAATAGTTTAATATAATATGTCAACTATAACATTTCATCTATCAACAATGTAATCTATTAAATATGGCTTATCAAACAGATTTTATTTGTTGTATACACGCGATTTAAACATAATGACATAATTTCAGTATTTTTTGATGTCAAAAAATCAGCAGGGATTAAATAAACTGAACTTTTATATTAATAAAAAAAAAGAAAATAAATTATATATTGTATTACATAAATATTATATATATTATATTATATTTTATAATGTAATTATTGTTTTTTTTTTGTATTCTGACATTTAAATTATAATTTACATGCGCACATGAAAAAAATTTCTGTAAACTTTATATAGACAATATGAAACAATTCATGTAAACGCATATAATTTTGAAATCTATGGCACAATCTTGATTTTAATTAGTTTTAACTTTTAAAATATATTTGTATAAAATTTTAAATGTGTAGAGAGATTTATTTTCTTTTTAGGTTGTGTAAATGTGATATGTTCTGACAAAACCGGTACTATCACGAAGAATGAGATGACCGCTACGATTCTTGTGACGTCGGAAGGTTATATCGCTGATGTTACCGGAGCGGGATACAATAATGTGGGTGAAGTACGGATACGGAAATGCGACAACACCGATTTCGCTCGTGCTGCTATCTCTAACATGCTGGAAGTGGGTTGCGTATGCAATAATGCAATCATACAAAACGATACCCTACTTGGACAACCGACGGAAGGCGCGCTTATATCCTTGGCAATGAAATTCGGAATGCACGGTATCACCGATAAATATTTGCGATTGCAAGAATATCCATTTTCTTCCGAACAAAAAATGATGGCTGTGAAATGCACGCCGAAGTTTGGCGAGGTAAATTTATATTGGAAGACTAATCTCTTTCTGGTTAGATCATAGCCAGAATAACTAGGTTCTTACCCTTGAAAAATTAAGTACAAACTCTACAATTCTATACAATTTCAGAATAGACAAGAAATATACTTTGTAAAAGGCGCTTTAGAGAAGATTTTGCCGCAATGTACAAAGTATTACGAGAATGGTCAAGTGTATCCCCTTAGCCAGAAGAAGGATCAAGAATTCTTGACAGAAGCATACGATATCGGTCAACAAGGATTGAGAGGTAGCAGTCTCTTTTTTTAAAACAATGGATATTGGAGAAATTTCATAGATTATATTTTTCTGCAATTTATATTTCACATACAAATTTATGTGTTTGCAGTGATTGGTTTGGCACGTGGCTCCTCATTACAAGACCTTATTTACGTCGGTCTGGTTGGTATTTGCGATCCACCGAGACCGCACGTACGCGAGTCTATCAGCATCTTAATAAACAGTGGCGTTAAAGTGATAATGGTGACTGGTGATGCCAAGGAAACTGCAGCTGCAATAGGTACATAAATAAATAATGTAATATATATCATATAAAGAAAGAGATTTGTTATTGAATTTCTTACACAATGAGCAAATTTTCACGATCACAGAATTTTCTTGTAAATGATTCAATCATTTTGCAGCTAGCATAATTGGATTGGATACGCTTCACAGTCGATTACTATCGGGAGATGAAATCGACATGATGTCTGAGCATCAATTGGAACAGTGCATCAATAATGTTAGCGTATTTTATCGTGTGACACCCAAGCACAAACTTTGTATTGTAAAAGCCTTACAAAGGAATGGCAATATAGTGGGTATGACTGGTGATGGTGTAAACGACGGAGTAGCATTAAAAAAGGCTGACATAGGCATCGCCATGGGCAAAAATGGTACTGACGTGTGCAAGGAAGCGGCCGATATGATTTTAGTCGACGATGATTTCGGAACCATTATGTAAATATTTTATATTGAATATTTTTCATCTAATATTTTAGCACATATAATGATTTAATCAAACGACATTTTTACGGTTTCCATAATTCTTGATTCTAGTGCGGCGATCGAGGAGGGAAAGGGAATTTTTCACAATATTCGTAATTTCGTAAGATTTCAGTTGAGTACTAGCATAGCCGCGCTCTCTCTGATTGCTCTTGCAACATTGATGAGTATACCAAACCCCTTAAATGCTATGCAAATACTATGGATCAATATCATTATGGACGGTCCGCCTGCTCAAAGGTTGGATGTTACTAAATATCCTTTCGTTTCATCTTTTTTCTGTATGTGCATATATTAATTTCTATTTTTTTGCATGCGTAGCCTTGGCGTAGAACCAGTTGATAAAGATGTGTTGAAACAAAAACCACGTAACACAAAAGAGCCAATGATCACGCGTCACCTCATAATCAATGTTTTATTGTCGGCCACTATCATCATTCTTGGTACTTTATGGGTATACAACAGAGAGGTACCTACAAAAAAACAGAAATTAGTCTTCAAGAAATTGATCTATAATTATTTCTCTTGTACATATGTATGTTTTATTTCCAGATGGTTAATGGAAATACTGCGAGAGATACTACCATGACATTTACTTGCTTTGTATTCTTCGATATGTTTAATGCTCTTAGCTGTAGATCACAGGTGAGATTCTGTGCGTTTGAATTTTGATATCGAAATGAAAAATCACTGGTTCTAATTCTTTCGCTTCTCCCTTTTTATTTCAGACAAAATCTATATTCACAATCGGATTATGGAGTAACAAAATGTTCCTTGTGGCGGTAACGTTGTCTGTCATTGGACAAATGTTTGTGATCTACTTTCCTCCATTGCAAAGAATATTTCAGACTGAGGCTCTCACGGCGAAAGGTAGTATTTCATACATTTTAATGATAAAGGACAATCGATACATGCTTCTACAATGCTTTTATTTTTCATTTTACAGATCTTTTATTCCTGGCAGCGTTGACATCGAGTGTCTTCGTGATTAGTGAGATAAAGAAATTCATCGAGAGACAGCTGCAAAGACGTCACGTCAACAGCCAGTATTATAACAAGTTCGAAATGGACTTTGTATGACAGTTGCAGTCTGCCGGCGAGAGCAAGGCGGACAAACATCATAATGACTAAGCACATTATTCTATTACCTCTAATTATCGGCGATATCTCGATACATATGCAATCGCATTCGCGACATTTATAATTGAACATTTTACTTCTAACCCACATCTACTCGACTATGCTTGCACATTCGTAACCTCGTTATATAGATGCAGTTAATACACGCAAAAAAGAATAATGATATTCTCTTGACAAAGATTCTATGTATTGATTGCGCAGTGACTGCGGGCTTTTGTACATCGTTGATAGATTCGAATTTTTTTTTGTTTTTTTTTTGTTTTTATAGTATGTCACACATAGTATGTCATACATATAGAAGAGAGAAACATTTCGAGATGTAGTAGATTATGTAGACAGTAGTTATTAGATTATTTCATTATCGTCTTGACAAGAGGATCACCTTATCATAGAAAATAGCAAAGCTACTGCACATTCCATGCACGTTTGATAGATCAAAGTGAATTTTAACAATAATATATCTATAATATAGTCATAGACTGCAGTCCAAAGCAATGTTTGCACCGAATCATTGTATCTCTCTCTCTCGTACACACTTTTCTAAATAATGTGCATAATTTTTAAGATCCATTTGTGAGAAGAAACGTCGATTCCGCCATTTATTCATTCATTGTCAATCAATTCACGTTAGAGGAGAAGCGAATCATGCAGCATTTTACCGAGTAAGAAAAAAAAACAAACTTGTTGTAATTAACCTCACAGTCATACAAATCGATTGCATTTAAGAATATAGTTCTCTAATCAGCGAAAATAAACGCTCTTATAATGTTCCTTATTAATTCCACAAACTGCGAAACGCGACGTATCAAGATATGAGGTAATGTCATATGTAACAAGATTTATGCGAGCCGTTTAATTGAGAGTTAGAATATTAAATTTCAATAATAGCTGGACCGAGTTCCTAATAGATTTAATTGATAGTTTGAGTCCATTTTTGAAAAAAATGGGAAATGGTTTTATTTTTACTTTATATATCCTTGAACAAAGATATGACTCAAAATTTTTATGAAACGTCGCATCGGCTGTTTTGGAAAAATATATCGTTACAACTTGTAATATAATATTACACTAGTCATCAATATGTGGTGGTAATTGATCATAATTCAATTCTATAACTTAAAATATCGGTAAATTACAATTCGAGATTACTATCAGAAAATTATCATTCAATAGATTTTGGGACTTCGCATACTGTTATGATCTCTGTCTACACATGGAGTTAATAATAAAAAACTGTAAACATTTCAATTATTGAAAAGCTTCCATTAAGATATATTTGGAAGGTTCTTGATAAAAAAGAATTTAATCATATTATTTTGAAAGTATTTGACGTAGTTGTAATAATTTATAATGAAAAACAAGGATTTAAAAATTTTAAAATTATTTTATATGATTTTGATATGATATGATATTTATATGATATGATTTTGATTCATTTATCCATATGCATAAAGTCAATATCAAGTACCGTTTTTGTGAAATTCATTAATTCTTCTAAAACATTTTTAATATAACATTTTTCGATTGTTTAAATTAAATTTGAGTTTCAAAAAAATACTCACATATTGTATGTACATAATTATACATGTATTCGAATCGATTTTCTCTATGAAAGGTGCATATCAATAACAATAACAATTTTTTTAATGTTTAAAATGTTATATATCTAATATTTTTACATATATACAAGTATATTTCATTATATATTTCAAAATTTCTTTTGATTTAATGAAAAAAACAATGAATTAAAAAAGAATTATATAAATCGATTTCTTTAAAAAAAAGAGAAATTTATGCTAATGAATTCCTTCAAGAGGACTATAAGTTTTATATTGATACAACTCTGGTCCACCGTAACCGTACAGTAACTTTCCCTTGCCATTTTCGTCGTAATAAGGATAGCGATATCTTGGCCTAAAAAAAGATTATAACGGTATTATTCGATGCAATTTTAACGGCAATTTTTTTCTCAGAGATTGTTACGCTTTAATGCGCAATCAAAATATTTTTCCTGCTTAATGTTAGAGTAAATATTGACGAATTTGACTAACATTTGTAAATAAATGAATTATCGCGAAACGTTTGCTTCGCAATCGTTCACTTACCGTTCGAAATATTGAAAATTAGGTGCTTTAGGTTCCGCGATCGTAGCTGTACTTCCATGGATTTGAACGAAAAAAATAGTAGCGAACACCATCATAATCAGCCACTACAAAATTTCGAACAAAAAAGCAAAAAAAATATTTTTGTCCTATTTTTCATATAATTTTTCAAAGAAAAAAAAATGAAAGGAAAGTTCCACAAAAATATAATGCGATTACGTGTAAATGTATACATTAGCATAGTAATTTAAAAAATTATGATGAGGAAACGATAAATGTTTACTTAATCGAGTATGACGATATTCGTGAAAAAAGAGCGAATACATTTTTTGTCATTTTACATATTTTTTTTATTTTTATTACTTACAGAAATAAAACCCGCCATGGCAGATGATCGCGAGTTCACTCTCTCAGTTAGTTGCAAGAAAATAATCTTGTAAATGATACAAAATAAATTTTTTTTTATTTCTAACAACACGATTAAACGATTTAACAACTCGATACTAGAAGATGATATCGATCACGTAGCTGCATCCGGCGTTTTAGATCCGCGCCAGAACTCAATCTGAGTTTCTTTATTCCCCTACCATCGTAATTCTTTCCTCGACATCGTGACATGGTGAAAGTTCTTGGAAACTTTGTACTACATGCAATGATTACTTCACCTGGAACGTCTGAAATACAGATATGTGAAAGTATTTGTAAAACGTGATACTTTTCGCAATAGAGCAATTTCTACATGCTAAAATACTAAAAAAAGTAGGAGACTAATAGTTATGCATTTCTAATTACTTTAAACTATATGCACAGCTGTTATAATCAGTGACACAATTTTAAAAAAATATGTTAAAATACACTCTTAGAAAAAAATATACTCCTTAATTTAAAAAATATACTCCTTATTCTATTTAATTGCAAACGTGTGATCAAAATTTATTCAGCAGAATTAGTCTGCCCGTAAAAAAAAATTGCAGCAAAGAAAATTATTTTATGTACAATTATTATTAATGACAATTGAAACGTCACATATATTAATTATTAATAATAGAGATTGATTTTAGTTTTAAGTATATATTTAATAAATAAAATTAAATATAGAGTATCATGTTGAAAAAATTATGTTGTTAAAAGAAATTGCATTTACTCGTTAGTCTCATCTTTCAGCTTTCCACGAGCATTATTCTTCCATATGTCCATAGTCCCTAATTTGGCTATTGCATATTCTCCGAAACGTCCGTTATCCCGCTCGTACTGGATTCTCCTTTGTTTGCCGGCCTCTGGGTCAAAGTCCCAGTCTGTTGTCTACGTACCATTATGACACCATTAGAAACCACTAAAGTAAAACTATGTTAAGTATCTTTTTATGCACTTGCCTCATGGAAAACAGGTGGACCTGCGACGTTATATTGAATTAAATCACGCAGAATCTGGTAGGCCAAAGGATCTGCGACTGATATCAATGTTTCACTATGAAGTAATAATGCCACCAGCGCGACAATCTAAAATATAATAAAAAATACAAATATAAAAACTATCGAAGAATGAAATAATTAATAAGAGATTATTGAAATGATTGTAGAACATCATAAACGCAAAAGAATCTAATCGTACTTAAATTACTTCATTAAAATTAATATTATTTGTTTTGTAGTTTATAATTATGTGTAACATGATTTCAAACTGAATTAATTAATTGAATTAACTGAATAAATTCACTGATAAGCCACTTTTTCAAAATCGAAATTAGTTTGTTTTTTTAATATTTATATTTTATTAATAAACTTACCAATATTCGACTTCGATCCATGGCTCGGTCCAGAAACGGTATATCGCTACCCCGATACGGAGTGATATCTTTTCAGAAATCCGACCTGCTTATATGAAAATGCTTTCAAGGTCTATTGTTAAGAATGGGAGTGAAAGTAAAAAACCTTTGATCGTTGGTTCACCACAACGCACGAGAGTTTAAAAAATCAGGCGTCTCATGAATGACAATCAGTTATTCATGAATCGATTACCCTACGATCATATTCGATTCGAATCACGAATTTTTCACGAAGCGCATAGGACATAAAAGCCGGATGGAATCGTCGTTAGTTATTTTCCGGTGTTCTCGCAGTAAGTGTAAATCGAATGAAGCATGTATATTGATAAAGTGTTCTTAATTATCTTTTGCGTGGTAAGTGATCTCGAAATTAATACGAGTTAATTCGCTTCAGACTCTTATTTATTCGCGAAAAGAATTTTCATATTATTCTACAATTATATTTTGTATTAAACTACACCTCTGTATATGTGTGTTAAAGTGTTAATTTTATAACTTACTATTAAAGTAATTAATATAAATTATTTTAATTAATTTACGTAGACAAGCGCGTGTTGCATCGATCAAACGTCGACACGAAATGCCAGGACAATCGATCTGTCACCGTCGTTTCTCACGTGGCCACAAACGTTGTTCGGGAATCGACTCTCAATTTTCGCAAGAAAGTTCTGGCCGAGTCAATTCCAAATCCGGGAATGGACTAGAAGTCTTCTACGCTTCCTATATTTCGGAGAAACTGATCAGGGTCCAATACGCATAGAGTTCAGACCCGAAGACGGGCCACGCGCAGCGGAAATATATCAACGGCGCTTCGGATATCGTGGAGAGTGGCTCATCGAGCAGTTGGGGAACGGTCTTGGTCCTGATATTCGACTAGGTAGATTGCAACCTGTGCCGAGTACTTTCTTGACTCCACCTTTACTTCCTTTTAAAGATGGTAAAAATTTCTTTTGATCCACAACACACGCATGCAAGTGCACTTGATACATGTAATCGATGGAACTATAAACTATATTTAATCAGTAAGATATTTTCACTCTTTGAGTTCTTAAAAGTAGAATTAATTCTCAAGTGTACACATGTATAAACGACACTATTTATTATTTTATTATTTATTTCGTGAGTTATTTATAGAGTGTAAGAAATTGTTGTTGGATAAGTGACAGTCATTTTGTGAGAAAAAAAATGTGTTGTAAAACATATCTATATTAAAAATATACCTAGTTGAGTGGATGAATTGTTTTACAAAGACAAACATATTTATAATGCCCATATTTTCACATAATCCACTTTAAGGGCTGTATCAGTGTTCCATGTGCGATGCCATTTGTCTTTTGCTTGATAAAACTTATATGTCGCCTATAAAAATATAATTTAATGTCGATTGTATGTAAATTTATTGATCAAAGTCTGATAAATTAAATAATACTTGGCTTTGTCTTTTGAGTGTTTTTAAATTTTATATATAAAAATTTGTGATTATATATTAAATATATATATGTCGCACCTGTGCATCGACGTTTCGCCATGGCTTAGTATAGCCACTACTCGTGACGTAATCCGGAAATTCGTGAATACCTCCAACACCAATACCCAAAGTCAAATATGACTGCAAGAAAAATAATTCCATTACTTTCAATGTCAATAGGAAATTCAATAAATTTATAAAATAAATCCAACACACATCAATAAAAAAAAATATAACATTTTTCTTCTGGTTTACCTGTTTGCCAAATGCTGTATCCACAGTCTGTTGGCCGTATTCCACTTCATCGACCTTTACTACGATGAGACCGCTGCTCCATTCGATCTCGAAGATGTGGGGCTCGTCTGCCCAAGTCTTGCTCGATAGTCTCTTGGGCAGTTTAGACCAGTTAGTACTACCACTCTCATTTAAGGAAGAGGTCAATCCACCTGCTCTTAATATATGACCGCTAATATCTTTGTGATCGGGTGTTGTTAACGCCTCGTTGCCCATTGAAGATGCGATCCTAATCTCGCGATGGAGTCCAAACTCCCACGTATTCTCGGCGCTTTCCAGGGTTAACACTATGAAATGAAATTTGCGCGATAACGCAAACGGAATAGACGGTTGAAAATGTCTAATGATAAACTTACGAGGATATACCCAATCACCACGCGGCAATCTGGCTTTTATTTCGATGCGTCCGAAGAGAAATTCGAATTTCCCCTTTGTATTAAGACGTCCCGAAATCACCGGTGGTAAGATAAACGAGCCGATAGCTCGACGACGACAATCACTTGTAACCTGTTCTGTGCAACTGAAAAATATAATTTAATTTAATTTTAAAGAATTCTCTTTTGAAAGACGTTATAATATGAAAATTATCATAATTGAAAATAACATATATAAATTCTTACATAAAATTGCATATAAAATTGCATGATATTAAAAAAAAGTATAATAATAGTTTTTAAGTTTTTTAATACATTTCTTTTTTTAGAAAATAAATCTTATGATATAGCAAGCTCAATTCAAAGTCTATATATCTGCTTTAATATAAAATAAGTAATATCGAGTTTGTGACAGATGTGAATTTTGTAAGCGAGTAAATAACATAAATTAAATCCTCTAACGAGTCAGATTCTCTAATTTAGATTTTAAAATTCTAATTTTAATTTTAATTGTAATTCTAAGATTATCAGGCTTACCCTTCCACTTCCAATTCTCCATTCAATATAAATCCCTCGTTGCTGAATTTAGTCTCTAAAGGAATCGGCGTGATGCGCAACCAACCGTTCTTTGTATCCGTTACATCATTGGTCATGTAGATAACAAATTCATAATCCTGATAAAAAACAAAAATATTATTGATTGAATCACGATAATATTGTAGAACCGGTTATTTTCCGATAAATAATTGATTATAAATAGTGATGATACGCGTACCGGCGCACCGGCAAAACGATTAATCGAATTCCAGGTTGTGGTATTGATAGTGTCAAAATGGTCTTCGAAGAGTAATTCTTGAGAACAGGCTTGTCGTTGTCCGCCGTTTTCATAGACCCATGTAACCGATGTTCCCGTGCAGGTTTCATCTTGGTCTTTGTCGCCGGTATATTTAGTGCCATCATCATTATAAAAATCTAGAAATTGCGATAAACACGATTTAATAACATTAATAATTAAAAATGGCAAATTATGTTTAATGAAATTTTTTATAATGTGTAGAAATATAGTTAGAAATAATCACAATAAAATTTAAAGTCATTCGTATAAATATATTAGTTAACATTAATCACAGTTTAATTAATTTTCTGCTTCAAAAAAATGAAATTTAAAAAAGGTGGAAAATTGATTCAACTTTAATTTAATAATCAGACAAAGCTTACCAGTAACCCGATGTGATTTATTAACTGTATTGTAACCAAGGCCCCGATATATTACGTGAATCCACATATAAATAATGTCGTCTCTTTCTAACTGAGTATGGCTATCCTGATAAGTCCAACGTCCATCACGAACTGTGAGAATATCTCTCGCTATTGTTCCTGCTTCTAAGCCATTGAAATTCTCGTTGATTTTGGCGTGGAAGGCCACTAATTTAATTCCCTGTTCGTCTGTATAAGAAAAAAATTCAGATTAGAATATACAACTTTATCTTTTGTTTACTTATAGTAGAGTCAACAGTATAAAAAATAACGATTGATCATAATTTTAATTTATATGTTATGGATGACGCATTAGTATGTAAAAGTTATCAACCATTTCGAAAGATAAAATTCTTGACAAGTAATTTAATGTTAATTAAAATGATACTATTTTTTAGTAAATCATTTTTTTCAGTTATATTTGTGAGTTATTGTAAATAGATAAATTACAATATAAATAATAATTATTTATAATAAATAATTATATATTTAAAGAGGATATATGTAAGATATTTAATGTTTTAGTTTTGCATATTTAATGAAAGAAAATTTTGAAAAAGTTATTTTTTAGTTGTTTTATGTTGAGAGAACTCTACATCAATATAATTGTACATTGTATCCTTAATGAGTTCAAAGTTTACAAGATATAATTGAGATAGCAATTATCTATAAGTTATCTCATTCTCTATTTCTTTATTTTTTTTTATTATTCAAAATTGTTTACTGAGCAATATGCAATATTTTAAGTTAGTCTTAATTTTCAAGATAAATATTCTGTTCAATATAAAACGAATGAACAAAATAAATTATCTGTATATAATTATAATTGATATATTTTAATTTATTTATATATTTTTATATATATTTACACATTTTAATTATTTTATTTAAAATGTTCTCTCATCTCTAATTGAATTGTAATTATAATCTAATTTATATTGTTTAGATTTTACCAGGAATCGACATGCGCAATCCTATGGGATGAAGCGGCTCCACTGTAACCTTTACATTATTATAAGCGGCGCGATACTCGTGAATATTCACAAAGAATATGGCGAGGAAAAGAGATTTTGCGAATAAAGAACGTTTCGTCATTCCTGATCTCAGTCGTTGTCCTTGATTTTTAGTTGCCTCTTGATGAGTCTTGTCTTATCTTTTTCTCAAATTCCTCTGAATTTTTCGTTAATTCTTTGTTTTTCTTTCCTCCCTTCCAGATCTATTAATAAGCAAGATTCTTGAAGGACGACCAGTTTGATAGTAAACAGAATATATTTGTTGAAGCTGGATGGCTCGCGATCGGTAGTCGCGCACTGACTCACCGGCGTTTCTTTCTCAGAACGCCTTTTATTCTCCCTTCTACTCAGCTTAATAAAGAACCGGAATGTGCTACGTCAGATATTGATCATGAGAATTATATACACATTTATTATTTCGTATATAATCTCGAACACTACTTGATCTTTTGAAACATATCTGCTAAACATTTCTTGATTATGTAGAAAATTATGCGCACTGCTACTTTTTATTAATTTAACGTGATTTTAATTTTACAATTAAACTTATTTTTAATCACAGTAAGAAAAAATTTCACATCTATCGATTCAAATAAAAAAAAAGAGCGAAATGATCAAGATTAAGTTTTTTTAACTAAAATTCTTTTCTTTTATTATATAACATTACATGAAGTTATTTTTGTACTTTCTTCCTTACATCAGAACACCGAAGAATATAAAGTCATTACGGGAATGTTTTTGTATTGCGTTCACCCGAGATAATTATCAAAACAACTCCCGATGCGTAAATGCAAATATCGTTAAACGTGAGAAATATCCGAATATCCGGCAAAGAAATAGATAAAAAACACATCGATCTATGCCACGATATTACCTATTGTAACTTTTGCTTTACTTCATCAGGTATACGACTCAAGTACCACTGATGCGACTGGCCAGGCGCGGTGGCCAGTACGCCTCTCGTGTTTGCATACGTCGTTTCCCGATTATATGAATAACGTTCACCATGAAGATCGGTTAAAACACCACCGATCGCATAAAGAACAGCTTCAGGGGCGCAGGTGTCCCATCTTTTGCACCCGCGACTGGCAAACACATATGCGTGTGCTTTTCCCTCCAACAGGAGAATTATCTGCGAAGAAATATATATTGCGATTCAATTTAGTCATATTATAAATATCTCAAATAACTTGACGATTATCGATATCATCATGAATATTCGCTCATATAATTACCTTGTGTCCGGCGCCGCCTACGCGTGCCACTTCGTCAGGATTTAAGGACTTTATGGCACTCTGGACAATGCTGTCGGAATGTGAGCTAAAAACGGTGATAATACAATGATATTTGATGAGATGAAATTATCACAATAAATTAAAATCGTTTCCTATACCGAGTGGTCGTGATTATTCTCTTCCCTTCCGGAGGTAGTTTCGGCACGAATCCTCCAAATCCAACACCATCGATACCCCACAATGTACGACCATTTTCGATATATGTGCTGTTTTCGTCATTCTTATAATACGGCTGATGTATCACGCCTCCAATCGCCCTCTTGCCAATCGCCACACCAACCAATACTGTCACGTGTTCTACCAGTCCTTGCGTATACTCCGCTGTACCTGCAAAGCGAATCCTTTCATGAATGATCCATGTTCTTCATTATTTTATGTCTTGGAATGCAAGAATGTGTGTAAAACAAAGCAGAGATACAAATGAATTTTATTTGTCACATGAAGGATTCTTTTTTTCAGGAAATTAAGAAATCGATACCATCTAGAGGGTCCACCCAAACACAGACATCCTTGGGATTAACATCTTCCAGGTGGGATGGTAGCTTCACTTGCAATACCTCTTGATCCGCTTCTGTGATGATCCATTCAGATGGTACCTCGCAAGTGGATGGCTCTTCTTCTCCAATTATTGTTATATTTGGAAATTGATTACTCAATGAAGTTATGATGCATCGTTGAGCGCAACGATCCGCCTCTGTTTGCAAATCATTTTTGCCCTTCTCTACTATGTTTAATCCTCCTTTATTCAAAACATCTCGAATTATTTTACCAGCTTGTACAGTGGCGGACACAGAGGTTGCCAGTATGCGTGTCAATAGAGCAGCACTTTGAGCCATTTTACAAAATCTTGGAACAGATGATTATAATAATGATTATGATGATGGAAATATGCTATTAATATGCAGTTTTCTTTCCTGAAACGCAAAGATGATATTTAAAATATATGTATACAAACGTACATCATATATATTGCATATATTTAATATGCAATATGAATACAATTATCTAATAATAATCAGCACAAAAAATAGGTCTTACTTGTAATTAAATTTTATATGTCTCGATATATCTGAATCGATGCAATAATGATAACTAAATTTTTCATGAATTTTAAAATAGAAAATATATTAAATGAAGTTTTATTATTTTTAAAACATATCGAAATTAATGCATAATTCGATGGATATAGAAGAAAAAGAGACAAAAAATAAGCAATTTTTTAAAAATTTGGAATTTCGCTCAGATTGCATATATATCGCACAATTTTTAATTATGTAATTCTAATAACAACGACCAGAGAGATAACGACAGACAATGGGTCTGTTCGTTTTAGCTGCACTGCTGCACTAGTGCAATTAGTTAGAGTGAAAGAAAGTATGTTTGTCTCTTTCTAACTTATTGCACTAGTGCAGCAGTGCAGCTAAAACGAACAGATCCAAAACAGCAGGCCGAAGTTGAAATTAGAGGTTATACAGCATATACTGAACAACACTAGTTAAGGTTAGGTTAATTTTTAAAAGATAACGTGTGGGTATTGTGTATCTCTTACAAGTTGTTTGGATTTTGTTCAATAAATTACATGTGATTCGAAATAATTTCACGAATGTTATCACCAGCCAACATTGAATTTATGATTAAGAAGAAATGTTTTTTTTTTTATACAATGTATTTTGTATATTGACGGTAAACCTAATCTAACCAATTTCAATAACCGATATGCAACTATCTCTTTCATTTAAGATTGAAAACTAAAGAAAAAAATTTCTTTCATTTGGAAAGTTTTGAGGAAAAATATTCCTCCTAATTAATTTTTATATTATCTGTTATAATAATAGATATTTCAAAGAGAATATTTCTTTTCTTCCTATCATTACTTTAGTTAAGTTATACTTGATACTTTCACTTGAATTTTGCATTTTTGTTTTATAGTAAATTGGATGCAAGATGTTGAGCAGAAGCTTCATGACAGTAGTAACTTCCTGGTCAGGAAAAAATAAGCACATCTTGAAGATATATTGCTCGACGTCGACCAGCGATACTTCTTATGTAAAAGAAGCCAAATATAAAGATTCTACAGCGAAGAAGATAGAAGAAGTAAAATCAAAAGTAAAGACGAAAACAAAATCTATATTGGATGATGAAGAAACACTCCATATTATTAACAATGTGTACAAAATTAATCCAGATATAATCAATGTTTGTACAAATCAATTGAAATTATGTAAGACAGATGTTGATGGGTTATATTTAATTGACAGAAATACTGCTGCAAAATATGTCTCTTTGATTAAAAATGATCTGTTAAAGAATACATGTTTTGTTGCCGAGTTGAGTCCTGGTTACGGTGTGTTGACTACAGAATTATTGAAAGCTGATGTACCATTGATTCATCTATATGAAGCAAAGAAGGAGTTACATCCAATACTGAATGCAATCCATAACATGTATCCCGGAAGATTGGATTTGAGAAATTTTCATCTTTTTGCAATTTACAAATTATTTTATAAACTTAAAGATGAGAATCAGGTACAGCAGATACTTCAAGGAGTGGAAAATAAAAAATGGGAAGACAAAACTTCTATGCAGATAGTTGGTGCAACAGCTAGCAAATATTTTTTTTATAATCTTATACAAAGCTTACTATTACGCAATTGCTTTATGACTCATGGAAGACCTGTCTTCTACTGTGCGGTACCTCCATCTCTATGGAATGTTAGTATTTCATTTTTCTTCTTCTTTTAAAGAATATCTTATATTTGATGATTATATTAAAATTTGGCTTTTTATTATGCTTTAAGTAGAAATGCAGTTGTGGCATAGATAACAAAAGAATGTATACTTATACAAAAGTGATATTTCAAACAATGTTTGATTATAAACTTCTGGGAACATTAAATAGAAATGCTTTTCTACCTTGGCCAAGAAAAAACAATAAACAGAAACACAATTTAAGTCGTATATGGGCCAAGCTGGATTATGAGCAAATAAATGTGGTAAAAATTGAGCCAAAAATCGATCTTTACTCACAATTATCATTTGAAGATTGGATAACGTTTTCGTATTTTGTAAAACATCACATGCAGAAACGTTGTAACAGAGTGATACCTGAATTAGAGTGAGTATAATATAATATAATATAATAACTGTGATCAAATACTTTTCTGTCATAAATATGCATATATATATATATATAATTTTTTTATATTACATTTATGTATTCAATGTTTAGGAAATGGGTACCAGGCTGTGGAATTAGACTAATAGCTAAAGATTATACAATATTTACACAGTTTGGTGACTTAACTCCAGCACAAATAGTGGAACTATTTAAGGAATTTAAATCCTGGCCTGAATATAAAGAGAGTAATTTCCTAGCTTCTATGAACGAATCAAGTGTACATAATGAATTAATAGCTGCAGAATTGGAAGATAACATGAAGATAGATGAGTGATTCTCTTTCTTTTTCTATCTCCTGAACGAGTAATGATATGATCTTTCTGTAAATATATAATTATAATAAAAGTTTTTATTTTTTTCGATACTCGAATGTTATAAGATATTCTATCTGCTTGAAACATGTATATTCATATCATTCAAATTTTTAATTAAATAAATAGCTCAGAAAGTTAAAATTTCAATAAAAAATGAAATTTTTATTTAAAAAAGTTAAAAAGTTCAATCTTAGAAAGATAATATTTTACATCCACAGATCTATTAAAAAACAATTATTTACGTTTCAGTGTTAGTTATGTCATCTTGATGCGAGAGATTTCATTATCTTGAATCGTGAGAATTTCTGATAAATTCCTCTCCCCACTCTTCCTCTATTGTTTCTGTATATAAGCTTAATGTGATGCTGAACGGATGAAAATGTACATCTTTACGCAATCTTCTTAGTACCGTTCATCGGCTCAGTTTCGTTTAATAACAAAAATGAAGTGCTTATATATCGGTATTGTACTTCTTCAGTAGCAGTGGGCAGCGGGCAGCAGCAGCAGCAGCAGCGGACAGCGGACAGCAGCAGCGGGCAGCGGACAGCGGACAGCGGACAGCGGCAGCGGGAAGCGGACAGCGGACAGCGTCAGCGAGAAGCGGACAGCGGACAGCGGACAGCGTCAGCGAGAAGCGGACAGCGGCAGCGGGAAGCGGACAGCGGACAGCGGCAGCGAGAAGCGGACAACGGACAGCGGCTGCGGGAAGCGGACAGCGGACAGCGTCAGCGAGAAGCGGACAGCGGCAGCGGGAAGCGGACAGCGGACAGCGGCAGCGGGAAGCGGACAGCGGACAGCGGCAGCGGGAAGCGGACAGCGGACAGCAGCAGCGGGAAGCGGACAGCGGACAGCGGACAGCGGCAGCGAGAAGCGGACAGCGGACAGCGGCAGCGAGAAGCGGATAGCGGACAGCGGACAGCGGACAGCGGACAGCGGGAAGCTGACAGCGGACAGCGGACAGCGGCAGCGAGAAGCGGACAGCATGAAGCGGACAGCGGACAGCGGCAGCGGGAAGCGGACAGCGGCAGCGAGAAGCGGACAGCGGACAGCGGCAGCGAGAAGCGGACAGCGGACAGTGGCAGCGGGAAGCGGGAAGCGGACAGCGGACAGCGGACAGCGGATAGCGGACAGCGGCAGCGAGAAGCGGACAGCGGACAGCGGGAAGCGGACAGCGGCAGCAGCAGCGGGCATTTTTTTTTTTTTTTTTTTTTTTATTTAATTCTCTTTCCTTTTACAGTTTCGAGCTTTCGGTCATCTCTGTCTTTTGTCTCTAATTTTTCTATTTCCCTACTTTTATGTTTAAGGATCCTTTTATTTAAACTTTATTCTTTATTTTAATTTGTTTCTCTTTTTATTCTAATTTGTTCCGTTCTTTTTCTTATTTTTTTTTCTTTTTCAGAATGTGGGTCTCTCAGCCGACATCAGCAGCAGCGGGCAACGGGCAGCAGCAGCAGCAGCAGCGGGAACCAGCAGCGGACAGCGGGCAGCGGTCAGCGGGCGGCGAGCGGCAGCAGTAAAACAATCGAATCGTTCTTAATTCATATCATTAGCATAATATACTATGAATTTTCTACGTTATATATTGAATCGAAATTGCGCGAAAGAGGAAAAAAAAATACAAGCCTACGAATAGACATTTCCATCCTTTACTAAAAAAAAAGAAATTAAAAATAGCTCTAAATTTTATTTCTGTTTCTTCGGGCAAGTCTACATATATGACCAATATGATTAATTGATTCCATCTTTATCTATTTATCATTATGTGCTATTAATTAAAGCCGTAGAGAATATTCAGAAATCAAAGTTGCGCGCTGGAATGGCCATGCGCAGAAACGAATGCGCACTGATTCGGCCGCCATGTTGGCGCGTGACTGTTTCGTCACTGCAACGTCACTGCTACGTCAAACGCGTCATACGGCCGCCATGTTGGCGCGTGAATCGGAGTCATACGCAGTTACACGGATCGTCGTACGTCCGCATTTTTCGCATCTTTTAACCGTTTTTAAACGAATATCGCGAGTAAACGAGCGTCGAGAGTGTCCAAGGATGATCGCGCGACTTTCATAGTGTGTCGATGGAAATGCGCGACAGCGAGTTTTGACGATATTCAATGATGGCGTCATCGCGAAGATGGAGCGAAGTTGCGTCCCGTTATTCGCACCCTTGATGATGATTATCGGATGCGAGCGAGTATCGGGAGTGCCGCATAAAGTGTCGCGCGTTCGCGTTGATGATATCGTTTGAATTTGTGTGCATCAAGAATGGGCATCGGAATGGGACGTCCCGAGGCGAGCGAACTGTCCCGAGGAGGAGCGGCCTGTGGAACAGCCGCCTGAGTAGATTTGATTTATCATATTTGCGTGACAATTCGTGCTCATTCGACGCTTATACAGCATCGCGATGTCCCGAATTACATTCGGACAAATCGGCGCCGCATCATAATTCGATTCGATGCAATTCAAATAAGTCGATCACGTGAAGATCATTATGCTAGAAGCGATTTGAATTTTGTATACGCGCGCTTAGTGCTGCACAGCCTATCTCGTAGGGTGGCCAACTGTTAAACGATAAATTTGTTTGATCTAACCTAACCTAACCTCTCAGTGTCTTTGGATATCGAATGTAAACACAAGCGTATGCTGCCTGGATTGTATCATGCTTTAAAAAATAATATTTAATTATTATTTCATTAGTGTATTACATTTTATTACGTAATATATTAATCGTATTAAATGTGCGACGTACAGTTTTACACATTTTAATGAGTAGCATATAATGTAATTGGTTAGGTTAGATTAAATTAAAACAAGCTGCTGTGATTCATTTAACGTAATAGGATTAATTTGACGAATGTGCAGCTATTGAAGTTACATGATATTTGTGGACACATTTTTAAAGTAATCATGAGTGTCTTATCACATCTCGATTACATGAAATTAAAATATAAAATATTTATGTATTCCACATTAACGTTATTCATTACAAGTACTATATTACTACATTACAAGTACTTTTCTTATATCTCAATCATATTCAACCATTTATTTCATCGATGAAGCTTTTCATATATCGCAGACAATATGATACTGCGTGTGGAATTTTACACAGATAATACATGGCACAAAAATAATTTGCTCTCAAGTATTGTGTGCGTTTCTCAAAAATAAATCAAATTAAATTATTTTCAGAATCCAAACATCGCTACATTGCCAGGATTGTATCTTATTATAACTGCGATATTATCACCTTTTAATATGTGTGCGCAGTATTACATACATAAAATATATAAATTTATTTGAAACGTACTGAAATCTTTATCTTATTTATAATATTCGTGATATTATAAAAGAAAATTGCAACTGTAATGAAACAGAGCAGTGGAATAATTGGTTGATTGGTTAATTGCAGGTAATTTTGTTATACTTATATAATTGTAAGAAAGAGAAAATAAAAGTTGAATACTGAATGTGCTCTAAAGTAAATCTCATCTAAATAAATAAATGCATAAATGTGCGCCCCACATTCCTCATGAAAAAAATACATAATATTAATCTTTATGTATTATTATTTTTAAATTTGTTTTTTATTCTTTTAAATTCTCTAGATACACTTTTCATTTCTCCTCTCTTTCTTTTCAACTACTAATTATAGATCTATCATTTTTAATATAGATCTGTCATTTTTAGTGTATATTATTGCAGTAAGTGGAATAAAGAGCAAATCTTTTGGCACATTTAAGAATGTACAGGAAAGTCAGTTTTATCTGATGCGTTTTTTTCAATAGAAATATCTGAAAAAATTCATACGTCTTTTTTAATCTTAATCTTTCTAAATAAAAATTAGAATAATAAATTTGCAAAATAATTTGCTTTAATATATTTTTATTGCAAACATATGAAGCAAAGTGCTCAAGGTGCATCACTATGAAAACATAGATAGAATAAAAAGTAGATCGTATACAAAAGAATTAAAATATTTACACTACATATTTGATATAGCATTTAATCGATATGTGCAGTAATACAATAAAATCTAATTTTCTCTCGAATTTTTACGAAAGAAAACTACTAGAAATTTAAACTACTAGAAAAATATCAGATATTCAAATTCAGATATTCTCTCGAATTTTTTCGAAAAAAATTACACGAAATTTAAACTACTAGAAAAATATCAGATATTCAAATTGTTCAATAGTCTTGCGAAAGAAGCAGTTCTCGCTTAAAGAATCTTTAGAAAAAAAAAATAAAAAAATTCTAAAGAAAAAAAAGGACAAAAAATTTTTAATCTGACATGGATATTTAATTTTATACTAATATTTTTAATGTAACACTTCATTTATAAAGATTTTATTTTGTGAAACGTTTATACATAAAAGTACAATGATTATAAGGCTTCTTTAATCTATTGTTTCATCTTCGCATGTTTTTCTATAAAATATTTGTGCTTCTGGATACTTTTCTCTGGAAGCTTTATGCAATGTGTGTAACATAAATCTGTTAACGTACAAGTATTAGAGTAACGGAATAAGTATATGTAATTTGATTAAAAATACGTTTCTTATATGAATTTTTAATTACATATTTTATTATACTACGAATAAAAAAAATCATGCTCGCGCGACGTGATTCTAACAATTTACCGACATGCACAAAATGATGACTTTACCGGCAGTCGAAGTATCTAGACTACGTAATTCTGGCGTTTAACGCGAATGCAGATGGCGATACTGAACAGCAAAAAGATGGCCGCATTGTGTGAAACGCGAGGCGCGAAATATTGCATTTCGTATATCAATTTATAAATGCATGAAGAAATCCATTGCTTCTAACTCTCCGTTGGCGGGACAATACGCGAGCAAAAATTAAAGTGAAAAAGTAAAGGAAAAATTAAGCAGCAGCAGCAGTAGCAGTAGCAGCAGCGGGCAGCGAGCAGCAGCAGCCGGCAGCGGGCATTTTTTTTTCTTTTAATTTGATACTCTTTCTTTTTACAGTTTCGAGCTTTCGCTCATATCCGTCTTTTGTCTCTAATTTTCCTATTTCCCTACTTTTATGTTTAAGGATCCTTATTTAAACTTTATTCTTTATTTTAATTTGTTTCTCTTCTTATTCTAATTTGTTCCCTTCTTTTTCTTATTTTTTTCTTCTTTTTCAGAATTTCGGTCTGTCAGCCGACATCAGCAGCAGCGGGAAGCGGACAGCGGACAGCGGGAAGCGGACAGCGTGAAGCAGACAGCGGACAGCGGGAAGCGGACAGCGTGAAGCAGACAGCGGACAGCGGGAAGCTGACAGCGGCAAGCGGACAGCGGGAAGCGGACAGCGGGAAGCGGACAGCGGACAGCGTGAAGCGGACAGCGTGAAGCTCGTTTCTGTTTTTATTCTAATTTGTTCCCTTCTTTTTCTTATTTTTTTTTCTTTTTCAGAATGTGGGTCTCTCAGCCGACATCAGCAGCTGCGGGCAGCGGGCAGCAGCAGCAGTAGCAGCGGGAACCAGCGGTAG